CCCCAAAACCCCAAAACCCCAAAACCCCAAAACCCCGTGAAAGGCCAACGAAGTTGAGTCAGTTAAAAATTAGCGAGACTAAGAGACATAAGATGAATTTTTAGGATTTTGAAAGGAAAGAAAAAGGAGAAGAGAGGGGATAGAAGGAAAGAGAGGAAGGAGAAAGGAGGTGTGAAAGGAGTAAGAGAAAGAAAGAAGGGTTAGAAAGGAATTTTGAGGAGATGAGAGATATGGTAAAGTTTAGTTTTGGGTTGTTTGGATTGTATGTATTGTGTTTTCTTGTAGATTTAAAATACAGACCCTCTGACTAATCAAGTTGTTTCCAAATTTTGTTCCCAAAACTCCACTTCCTTCCTCTCCCTCCAACCTCATCACCTCATCTTCCATCTCCCTTTCACTTATCTCATCTCTCCCTTTCACTTCTCATACTCCAACCCTCCACAGGTACATCTTATTCTTATTCCATTAAAAACCTCCTGGTCCAAAATCCAATTCTATGCTCATAAAACACCTCCAAATCACCTAATTCCATCATCTAACTCTAAAATTACCTAATTTGTAAAATTAATTAAAACTAAATTTTACAGACATTTCTTAGGAGGACTAAGTTTTATCCAGTCCTGGTTAAGCTGGTGCTTATCATCCTTCTTCCTAGTTTTTTGGAGTCTTTTAAGGAAACTTTTAGTTTCAGTTGTTGATTTTGATAGATTTATATTTCTTGAAGGAACTTGAAGGGATATGGCTGATGGAGGGAGTATGTTTCGGTATGTGTCGGGGTACTATTTGGTGGTTAGAGAGGTAGGAAACATAAATTTGCAAAAATTAAGTTTAGGAGAAGAGATAGAGTTATTTTGAGCAATTCTAGGAGGTTAGAAATTGATTTTGACCTGGGATCGTGAGTGAAGGAAGGTATTGAGAAAGTTATAGTTTTCGAATTTTTGAAACTTCTCATTAAAAATTAACTCAGAAAGAAATTTAAAAAAGACTTAAGCTGTATTGTCCAAATTGTTAAATCTTTTATAAACCTCATCAAATATTAAATACTTACCTTTAAATCTACTTTAGATCATTTCTTATCTGGAGAAAGCTTCTGATGCTCTTTGGGAAGTTTTAACTTCAGGTTAAAATTTCGGTTTTTATTTTCGTTATAGTTCTTAGCCACTCATTTATCTCGCCCGAAAGAAAATCTTTTACTTGGGGAAGCATTCAAGGATGGCCTGAAGAAATCAGCTGTTTCTTTTAACTCACTGTTCTCCAGTTCTGAGGTATTATTCGATGTTGGATTTGAGTCTCCATTTTCAATCCGAGGAGCCGTTTCAATATTATCGATGCTTGACTCTGAAGCTTTTTGACACTTTTGTTCCTCGTCTTCTTCAGACTTGGTAACGAACATGTTTGAGCTCTGCATTGACTCTATTTCAAACCCAAGCTGAAGCTTTCCTCTCTTTATTTGCTTGTTGCTAACTTCACTTCTTTTGAAAACAGAGTCAGCCTTTGTATTTTCTGTAGCTCCTGTAATTTTTCTCGAGTACATGGAATCCTTCCTATTAATGTTTGGAGAAAGATATGCATCTCCTTTTCCCTCACAATAGTTATTTCTTTTCCCATTTTCAGGCTTACTCTTAGAATAACTTGTCCCAAGTAATTCTTGATCAAGATCGATGCTTGAGTAATCAGCATTATTAGTTTCTTCTTTGTTAGGATTACCAGCATTATTGTATTCTTTGAATTTACCGACCTCAAGTTTTGGTCCTTCTCTCTTCATTCTCTCTGTTGGGCATCTGAGGGTGAATTGATTATCATCTGTTTTTGGAAGTTTATTCTTAAGCATTTTTGTTAGATTCTTCTTTGACCTGCTCACCTTCATTCTCAACCTCTTCTTAGATTCAGACCTTTCGTGGAACACGTCTGGTACTTTGATTCTGGATTTACTCCTGTTCTTTTTGTTTGAGATTTTCTTATTAGAGATCTCGATTGGATTTAAGCTGGTATTTTTGTTATCAGGGATTCTTATGTTCCTTATTGGCGGAATGTTGAGGTTGTTTAAGTCCTATGAAGGTTAAACTAATCCTTACTTCTCTAGCTTCCTGAGAATTATTTTGGACATCTAGCGTCCTACATCGGGTAAAGATGTCATTATCTGAACTATCATTTGATTTTTCACCTTTCTCCAGGCTTTTGCTGATACTTCTCTCCTTTGACTTGATTTTCACTTCTTGTGAAGAGATCTGGTGAGGATTTCACCGGATCGCTTGGCGGCTATTAGATGTATCAAGTGATATATCTGGTAGCACTTTGATATTTTTAACATATGTCATATTATTTGATTGCTCAATCTTGCTCTCTCTGAGATTGTTCATGCCAATCTTATCTAAAAATTTAACCAGAAATGTACCATCTAAACTGGGAATATTTTTCACGCTATTAATGTAAGTTCCTTTGTTCAGGTCAGAAATCGAGATCATAGAGAGTCCTGCTCTATGGGGATGAACAAAATTCTCGGATTGGTTATAGTTCAACTGACCTAGAAGTTATTAATAATGAACATTCCAAATGGTTGGAAATTTTAAACAGAAAGAAATTTTGACTTTGTTTACCATCATTCCGACTCCTTCTGCCATGGTTTGTGTTTGATCTTTTGTTGGAAAGAGATGATCCACCATAAATAATTCCATTGAAGCTTCCTCCAATATCTCCTCAAGATTCTCTGCGATCGTGAGAATAATGGAAGGTAAATTTATTAAGATTGGCATCAGTTGGACCTCTTTGTGCAGATCGAAGATTCTTCTTGGTTATGTTGTAACTTAGTTTCTCCGGAGTTCTTTTGAAGTAATGCACTTTATTTTTGAAGATACTGTTCTTAGAGCTCATGTCATGTTTTATCTGCTTTCCAAATTCCGGTAGTTGGTCCTGATCAAAACTATCTCTAGAGCTCACCTTCGGAAAGAAATCCTTAGGAAACCTTTTATACGAATGAGCAGATTTAATCACTTTCGGATTCCTTCGTTTTGAATCTCAAGACTTCCTCAAATATTTATAATTTACCATCGCTAAACAATACGATCAAACTTAGCCCAAAACTGCTAATGTAAAAATTCCTAAAACCACTTTCTAAATTCCAAATTTCCCTTAATTTCCTTCAACTTTTGCCCCAAAATCCCCACATCTCCAACAGTGGCTTACAATTATTTCTTGAGTGGTTAACTCCAGAGTTCGAAGACTCATGTTTTCCCAAAGAGGGCAGAACTCTTGCTAAGGACCTATCTGGAGCTATATCAGGCATCTTCAGTATTCTAGAAGTTGGTCAGGCTTTTGAATACAGAGATTTGGAGGAGTTTAAGTGGAGTAGCTTACTTTTCTTCTGTAAAATCTCTGTTATGCATCATGAAAAGAATATTAGGGTTTGGAATCTTTATTTTAATTAATAAGTGAAGTTGAGGGGTTTTGGGGTTTTGGGGTTTTGGGGTTTTGGGG